GAGTACCTAGTGCTCCTTTTGATGGAGCCCAAAACCACATTCAACTTTTGTGCAGCTGTCACACTGCAGACTCATATTAAGTCTGTGATCCACTAAGGATGAGGGGTGTGCAAAGCAGGCAGTATTCAATTCGGATTCAGCCTGATTCGGGGGACAGTGATTAGATTAATTGATTCGGATCACTGTCCTGATTCAATTTGGCCAAATCTGAAGATTCGATTCTGATTGGGAGAATCAGAGATTCGACCATAGACACAGCTTTATATGTTTTTTCTATGCACCTTGAGGTACTAGGCACGGCTCATGAACGCTGAGATGGTGGGGCAGATGGAGCATCCTAGGGGAGTTCTCATGCACTGAGGCAGTGCCGGACTCCCCCAACACCTCCCCGGCTCAATGATCAGCTGCAGGGGGACCCTGGGAACACCCCCCGCCCCGGGCCCAGGAGGCACCAGTCACTGAGCTGAGGAGCTGGGACAGGAAGTACCTTTGGTTCACTTCCAGGTCCACCGCTGAGCACAGGGAGCACCCCACCACGCTCCCGTGGGATACTCTATCCACCCCACCATCTCAGCATTCACAAGCCACGCCTGGTACCTCAAGGTATGCAGAAAAAACATGTAAAGCTGTATCTGTGGCTGAATCATCAAATCTCTCCAAATCTTTGAATCAATTCAGAGGGTTCCGATTCGATCCGGAGATCAATTGGTCTCCTGATTCAATTCAGATTCAGAGATCTGGCTGCCAAATTGGGCTGAAACTCCTCTGAATCGAATCAGCAATCGAAGATTTGCGCAGCCCTACTAAGGATCTCTCTCTATAGCACTGCTATCCACACACTTGTCGCCCATTTTGTATTTGTGTTTCTGATTATTCTCCTCAAGGTGTAGCAGCTTGCACTTGTCAGCACTGAACTTCATTCTGTTATCTCCAGCCCAGATTTCCAGTCTGTGAGGATCCTTTTGAATTGTGTTCCCGTCCCTCAGTGTGTTTGCAATCCATCCATTTTGCATCATATGAACATTGGCTCAAGGAGCCCTTTGTTCCAGCATTCAAATAATTAATAAACATGTTAAACAACACTGGGCCCATGAAAGACCTCTGTGAGATTCCACTCAAAACTGCCTGCCATTTAAACATGGATCCATTTAGAATTATCATTTCTTTGCAGCTATTGAGCCACTCCACTAAAACCAACAACGTTTTGTTATTTAAGTCTGAAATAATGCAGCATTGAATTGGGTCTTATGTTTTTGGTACTGATGTATGAATTGTATTCCTGGTTCATGATTGTCAACAACTTTTTACAGTTTTTATTTTTAAAATAATAAGTACCCTACAAATACACCATGAACAATTATGACACCTTTTCAGAGCAGATTTTTGTACCTGAGCCTGTCTGCTCCTATCTAAAAACAATAGACATATATAAGTCAGCAGGACTGCATGAACTTCATCCAACAGTGCTGAAGGAGCTGGCTAAAGTCATTGCTGAACCCCTGGCAAAACCCTTCCAAAACTCGTGGCACTCCAGAGAGGTCCCTGAGGACCGGGAGAGGGCCAATATTGTACCCATCTTCAAGAAGGGGAGGAGCCGGGTAACAATAGGCCAATTAGCCTAACTTTTATCCCAGGGCAAATCCTGGAAAAATTTATTAAGGAGCCTATGTGCAATAGACTTGCAGAAGGTAAGATTCTGAATAACAGCCAGCATGGCTTCATTGCAGGCAGGTCTCGTCTTACCAACCTTATCTCCTTTTACAATCATGTAGCTCGCCAACTGGTAAGAGAGAGGAGGTTAACACTGTATACCTTGACTTCCAAAAACCCTTTGATTTGGTATCCCATAATGTTCTCACAAGAAAATTGGAGGATTGTGGCCTTAACTGTGAGACAGTTAGGTGGGTAGGTGAGAAGCGGCTAGTGGTGTTCCTCAGGGGTCCGTTCTTGGTCCAGTGCTTTTCAACATTTTTATCAATGATTTGGATGTGGATGTGAAGAGCTCACTGGCTAAGTTTATGGGTGAAAACAACTTATGGGGGATGAAGATAGGCTGCAGACCTAGATAGACTGGCAAGTTGGGTGGACTGGAACCAGATAAAGTTCAACATCGAGAAATGTAAAGTGCTCCATCTGGGGACAAATAATCCCCTACACACCTACAGACTTGGTGGTGCCAAACTGAATAGCACCTCAGATCAAAGGGATCTGGGGATAGTAATTGACCACACTACGAATATGAGCCAGCAATGCAACGCTATAGCCAGCAGGGCAAATAATACTCTGGCATACATTAATCAACGCATCTCAAGCAAAACCACGGAGGTGATTCTTCTGCTCTGCTTAGCATTGGTGAGACTGCAGTTGGAGTACTGCATCCAGTTTTGGGTACCACACTTGAAGGAGGACGTAAAAGGAGGTAAAGCTTGAAAGAGTCCAAAGAAGGGCCACCCATATGATCAGAGACTTGTATGGCAAGCCATATGAGAATAGGCTGAGGGACCTATTCATAGAAGCTAGGGTCGGAAGGGACCTCAACAGATTATCGAGTCCTAGGCCTAGGCAGGAAAGAGTGTTGGGGTCAGATGACCCCAGCCAGATGCCCATCCAGCCTTCTCTTAAAGACTCCCAAGGTAGGGAAGAGTACCACCTCCCTTGGAACCCCTTTCCAAATTTTGGCCAGCCTTACCACGAAGAAGTTTTTCCTGATATCTAGCCTAAATCTTCTGTCTGTCAGTTTGTGACCACTGTTCCTTGTTACCCCAAGAGGCATCCTGGTGAACAGAACACCTCCGATCCCTTGCTGCATCCCCCTAATGAATTCATAGGCGGCCACAAGATCATCTCTCAGTCTTCTCTTGCGGAGGCTGAAGAGCCCCAGGTCCCTCAGTCTCTCTTCATAGGGCTTGTCCTGTAAGCCCTAAACCATATGAGTGGCCCTCCTCTGGACCCTCTTGACTCTATCAATATCCTTCTTGAAGTACAGTACTGGACCTGGGACTCTTCAGCCTGAAAAAGAGAAGGCTGAGAGGGGACTTGGTAGCTGCTTACCACTACAGCAGGGGAGTACATCAAGGGCTCGGTGAACAACTGTTAACCAGGGCACTGCTGGGGAAAACCAGGAGTAATGGTCATAAACTCCTGGAAGACCATTGCAGGCTCAACATTAGGAAAAACTTCTTCACAGTTAGCATGTCCAGACTGTGGAATAAGCTCCCTCCAGAGGTGGTGCAATCGTCTACACTAGAAATCTTCCAGAGGAGACTGGACAGTCACCTTGCTGGGGTCACCAACTGGGGACAGACCTCAGTTGTCTTTCCTGCCTGGTGCAGGGGGCTGGACCCAATGATCTTCCAAGGTCCCTTTCAGCCTTACAATCTATGAATCTATCATGTTTGCAGTTCCAACAACTTCACTTTTTGTATTCATACTATTTTGCTCTCTTCCTTCTACTGTCAACTCCATGACACAAAGTCAAAAAACTCACAACTAGGAGCATAAACACCAGTGGTGGGTGCAAAAGTAGAAACTGCAAGAAAAGGAATCTGAAAGGCCTGATAACTAGATGCAGGAAAAGCGAGCAAGTAATGAGGGCAAACCAAGGAGAGTTGGGGAGAGAGCGTCAAAAGAAAAAGTGGTAGTTGTTTCACTTTTTCATGTAATAATACAAACTATAACACACTATAGGGATATTTGATGAAATATAAGCTATACCAGCAGGATCTCAATTACATGATTTCCTGTCCAAGCAGTTCACACAGTTGATATCCTATTGTATCACCATCACATCCACTTTTATTCGGCTAAAAATGTAAATAACTAAGTAAAGAAATCAACAACTTTACAAAATCACCACAATGGGTACCATAAGCTGCACTGATGGTCTCTGCTGAAATTCTTATCTATGCCTGTCACCTCTGACTGTTTCAACTACCATTTCTATAGTCACGTTAAATTCTATGTTTCTAGTTTCCAACATATGCTCCTGCCCAATTCTCCAATGCACCTGAAAATACACTGACCTCCTCTATCCTTTGAGAACTCTGCTGACTAGATTAATAGTCAATGGGATTACAACTCAAAACTGTGCTCCTTAACTTTTAAAAACTATCCATCACCTTCCTTCCATCAGCTTACCTAGCCCTGAGACAATTTTCCTTGGTAAGGTGCTCATGCCATCTGAAATAAATTTTCTAAACAAAAAAAAAAAACAACTCTTGACCTGTTCTCAAATCCCAGCAGAATTTTTCTTCTCTTACCTGAAATTCTAAATTTTTCCACGTGGTAATTTGTTACTTTGCTTAATAGTAAAATTATGAGTTCTGTTGAAATAGAAAGTAATATTCAAGATACTGTGCACATGAAGATGCATATACTGTATTGTTCTTGTTCTATAATAATGATTTATAAATTGATTTTATGTCTCAAAGTAAACTAACAACTTAATACATGGTAGTTTTTGTACCAGGAGACTTGAATGTCCCTTCTGGAGCATATACAAGCCTTCATACAGAATCTTGCCAATGGATCTCAATCCAAACGTGCTATAACCTCCAAAAGGAAACTGATACTCCTTTCCTTACATGACATCAGAGATTCTTAAAAATAACTAACAACAACAAACAATTGCTTAAGTCTGCCTTAACTATAAGCTTCCTGGCTCTTATTTGTTTGAGCTTCAGACTTAAATAGCATAACCATGATTTTATTTTTATATATACATATACCCCCCCCCCCCAACTAACTATCTAAATCGCGTCTTGGCCTCTTGAAGGCTCAGATCAAGTGTTATATTGGTTAGCCTTTGTCTGTATTTGAAAGGGAAAAAAATCAACTAGAATTGAAAACTGCATAACAAAAATAAGTTTAAAATGTAAAGCTAGAGAGAGCCATCTACAGTATATAATGTGAAAGGAGGGTCTCAAACTTTGATGGAGAAGTGCGATATCAATTTTAATACAATTTGGAGTCTTCTGACAAGGAAAAGACAAAGCTCTTACCGTTTCCTTTGGAATTTGTGACTGGCTTTGCTCTGCACTCTAAAGGAAGTAAAAAAAATAAATAAGAACACGGCTACATAAGACACACACTATCTATTAGCAGAGGGACATACAAAGGGCTCAAATTCTGGTATAAAGTGGAAAGAGAGGACTGCAGGGAGCATATTGCGCTCTCTTATCCAGAGCTACCATGTACTGGCACAAATTGAGAGTTGCACAGAGGCAGCTCTTATAACCCTATGCCAAATGTCCCTGACCTTATACTGTGGCCCCATTAACTCTACATCAAACTCCCTTCACAGGAGGGTGACAACTACCAGCCCTCAAGAACCAATACACACCTTTATACTGAAGGTAATTCCTCTTACTTATAAGTCTCTGCTGGCTATACTAGCTTCTCTGAGGCCATTTTGTGGCATAGCAGACCAGATAATCCCCAAAACCTAACAATAATAATTCTAATATACAATGAAAATGCCTCACCCTAATCCAAGTGGGAGAGTACATTTGATTTTCTTGTTCTGCTTCCCACCGGTGTGTTTGGGAGGTGTAGCTGAAGAATTTATTAGCTGTTACAAACTCCTGTATATCCTATATTAAAGACCAAAGTGGGGCCCAGCAACCATCTTGTTGTCATAGCCCTCCACCTACAAAGGTATGTTAAAACCTACACCGGTAGGTTGGAATATGATTTGAAATTTAAAGTTTGGAAGTAAACATGTGACCATTTAGTTATGTATAACCTATAGCCAGTATTCAAAGAAGATAAAATATTGAAGGAGCAGCTATCAGTGATTAAGGTAAGGGATCCAACATATGGCTAGTGAGACTATTTGTCTTTCTGGGGAAAACAGTGGAAAGGGACAGCGTCGTTAGCCTGTGCCTGACATGGACGTTCTAGAGCTTGAGCTAAGAGTTAATTTCTCAGAAAACTGTAACAAACGTGTCCTCTATGGGCTGACAAACAGGAGCACATGCACACAGTGACCAACAGGTCATCTTCACAAACCAAGGCACCCCCAAGAGGCACTGCTGTGCCTTCACAGAGGAAGAGAAGAGAGCTAGGCTGAAGAGGACCAGTTCCAATTCATTAGCTATACGCACACGGGCATTTAACATAATACTGGACTCAGTAAAATTCCTGATATTCTGAAGGAGGTAGGATGCTTGTTTCCATAATCACCACTGGTTAAAGTTTCAGCCTAACACGTTGAATTATTTACCTATATCTGTGTGCCCTGATCAACGCAAACTTAGATTTCAAAGCTGTTGGCACTGGATTATTATTCTCTCAAACACACATGTATTAACACACCCTGTGCAGATCTTGTAGTAAAGCAAAACAGCCTTTGCTTAAACATTCCCTTCATTTGACTTAAATGTATAATACTATGCACGTCCATGGTTCCTCCCTACCAAAGACATTAAACCTCAGAACTCTCCTGCGAATAAAATCAGTCTTATTACTTTCATTTTACTCATACAGGAAACTGAGGCCCATATTGGCTATGTAGAAGTCACAGAGGGAAGCAGAACCCAGAATTCCTAACTCCCACAAAATCAAATCTGAAAAACTCATTATTGGAATAATCAGCCGTAGAGTTGTTATACCAAATGACTGTTAGAAAAACATGCTATCACACATTCTACATATAAGATGATGTCAAATACAAGTTCATAGGATATTCATAGTAACATATATTCTCAGTGGACATCACTCATTAAATGTACATAAAATTATAATTTAAAAGAAATAATAAAGCAATAGGGAAAATATGGAAGAAAGAAGGATGGACACAGAAGACAAACTGTTAGCAATTGGATCACATGTAAATAATCATATGCAATGTTAAAGGTGAACAGGCATGGTTCTAGATTTTTTCCCCCTATAAGAAATCTTCCATAGATGAAGGTGATAAAAATCCTTGATAGGCTGAACTGTATTAAAACAAATTTTCTGTATTACTTCTTAATCAGCAGAAGGAAAAACAACCCTTTCCAGACATGGTTCAGTTCTGTAGCTTCCCAGGCTCTTTTTTGCTGGATATGCTCTATGACTGCTGTCAGCAAAACAAACTTGGGGGCTGCTGATGTCAAGGTATATATTAGCAAATCTTGATACAATCAGGAACCAGCACACATGCTGTCAGATCCTTAGCGGTGGTAATTTGTTGTTGTACCACTGGAACTATACCAGTTGATGCTCTAGGTTTCTGATTCTATAGGTAATAGAAGATTGTCCAGCAACAGCTTTAAATGAACATGTTAAGTTCTAACTTTCCTATACTATCCTCTGCCCAGCACAGAGGAAGCAGTATCAAAGAGGCTGCTGAGGTTAAATCTATTTTAAAGGGGCCAGTGCAGTTTGTTAATTTAGAAGATATGCAATAAAACAGAAATTAAAGCAGTTAATATCAAGGTGAAAGAGTTCTTTAAGGTAGTCTATCTGACAAGAAATGAAGCAAATTACAGGAAAGTTTATATAAATTACTCCATATAGTATTACTTATTGCAACTTGCAAAAACAAGTATAAAAATAATATAAAAATAATTAATTAAGGAATGTTCTTACTTTTAAGAGTTTATTTAAAAAACCTTGAAGGCATTTCAATTCATCTTTTGCAGAGTTACTAATACTGTGTAAATTACATCACAGGACTTTATAAACAGATTGCTTTCCAGCCACTCAGAAGGATGTGATGCGATTTCCATACCATTCAATTTGATCCACTCTTTAAGGGAAAGTTTTCATAAACCATGACATATCAGTACCTGAAGTCACATCCCAAGTGGATTAAGCTAACAAATGCAGTTCATTTACAGCCTTCCCTGCCACTATAATTTATTAGATTTAAATGCTGTTTTGAAAGAAAGTCAGTGCAAAGACTGATGTTAGATTTTTTTAAATGGTCAAAAGAAACTATTACTTTTGCATTCAAAATGCTACAAACTGACTAGAAATTAAACAAATTACTTTACATGCCAAAAAGAGAAGATGACATGTTCTCTTCTTTTGCTTTTTCAAGACATGGAAGCCAAAGAGTTTATTTTAGGAGCTACACAAAACTATATTCATACAAACAAATTCAGCCTATTAACTGAATACAGAATAAAACGCACCTGCAATATTCATGGTTTACTTTTTTGTAACAAAAGTTATCTTAGGTAATAATCAGGGAAATATTTATATACACTTTGCAAATAACAGGTATGGTGATAAACACTGATTGTTTCAGTTTGCTTCAATTATTCAGAAAACACGCTCAATTACCCAAGTAAATGAATAATTGTGGGGTTTCATTCCATATAGGGATTGCTTTTATATTCAAATAAGAACTCTTTTTCTTGTAAATTCCTCCTTTTTATACCAAAGCATTCATACATACTGTTCCAGTATGGGTTTAAATGCTTTGAAAATTTTGTGATCATGAAGTGGGACAAATGCCAAGCTTTCAAACGCAGACTCATGAGTGTGAAAGATATGAAATAATAAAGTCATCTGCATGCATCAAAGCAAAGTCCATCCAATAACTTTTCCTGTAATAAGCATTTTCTGTCACACATTACAGTTCCCATAATCTGATTTTTAAACCAACTACTCGCATATTATAAATGTTTAATTCCAACACCAGAGCTTCAAAAAAATGTTCATAGAAACATAGTGACAAGAAAATAATGGCAACTTATTTCCTTGTGTTCAGTTCTAGCCACAGATATTTACCAGCAGATATCAAAGCCAGATCATTTGTTCATTTTCATCTAAAATCTCTTAGCTGCTCTCTATTTTACGCACCAGTTCCCTTGGATGGAATGCTTCTTCCTGACGAAAAATCAAAAGGCTCACAGTCCCTCCCATCTTGGTGCTTCTCAGCAGGGAGACAACTTCCTCTTGGGTTTTGCCTGTTAAGTCGACCCCATTTACCTATAAGAAACAAAATATTAGAAATTGCTAAGGGTCCAGTAGCAGAGAGTACTATTGTGCGTCACAACACACACAATACATCTGAAGGCAAAACCCGTTTCAAATTCACAAGGAACTAACATAAGGGGGTTCAACGCAATGGGAATTTTGCTTATCATTTTAGTGGAAATAGAATTAACCCAATGTAGAGGAAAATGCAGAACAGTATTTTTTTCTTGGTCCATGCTCCCAATAATACTTTATGACTATTAATGACAAGATGCTCATGAAATATGTCACAGTGACAGCCCTGGAGACCTCAGAACTCTTTATGATAAAAAAACAGATACAACATGGATAGCAGCTTTGGAATCTCTGTACATTCTCTCTCTATCCCATAAACATTTGAGGAGTGGTTTACAAAGGCACAGATAGGAGTTAGGAGCTTAATTCCCACTGACTTCAAATGGGAATCAGGCATCTACTTTTACACTTCTGAACTTCTTCCACTGAGAATTTTTTTTTAAACTACTGTAGAGCCTGAAGAAAAAATATGTTATCTCCACTCATTTTCCCCAAATAAGGAATTTTTCAATTTTAAAGAGTTTTGAATATTGTAACTACCCCTAGGATGCATAATTTTAGTGTTGCTACAACACACACACTAAATCTGGAGAACAAAGCCCTTCTTCCACAAATATATAAGAGGTTGGAGAGTGGAAACATACAACACATTTCAGAGGTTTAGAGAGTACAGTGTTCCTATAAAATAATGGTAAGCAGCCAGAGGAACAAATGCTGTGAAGCGATGTGGCACTTCCATGTGCCAAGAGCCTTTATTGTCTTCATTAACTAGTCCTCTACACCAACGATCTCCAAACTTTTTTGATCGTGCACCCCATCAGTAACAAATTTGAGCACACACCCCAATATATGTTGCAATATGCTGAAAGCAAATGAACGACTGAGGGTGCCACTGTCAACCCCTCCGCACTGTGGAACTCCCACTCTTCCCTCAGGATATCTCGCGTACCATATGTGACACGTGACCATCTGACATACGGACCGAGTGAGGGCGCCAGTGTCAATCCGTACATTATATATTAGTAAAGCTTAATTTCTTCCTTATTCTTTTAGATAAAAAATAAATATAAATAGAAGTTATAATATTTTCTTCCTGCACCCCAATGGATCATTTTGCATGCACCCCACTTTGGAGACCACTGCTCTACACAACATCTGAGTAAGCAAAACAAATGATATTGTTAGTTTCACATGGGACTGCTGGTTACAGAACTAAGTAGCGAAGCAAAATCATTAACCTTTTCCTCATATGCACCTTTTTTCTTTACCATTAGCTGATAAAACAGCAAACTGAAACTGATAAAGCATCCTGCTATTTCATTTTGATGCTTGGTTCATAAAAGCAGGGGAGCAAGTAATTGAGAAACAGCCAAACAAAAGAAATGGAGAAGAATTTACAAAATCCTTGGAGGGAGCCATAGAAAGAAACAGAAAGAAAAAGTAGAAATGAAGCAAAGTGATGATTACTGTGGAGCAGAAAAAAATCTTGTGTTCATTAATACTGTATTGGCTTACAGTAATCATCACCCCTGAGCCTGCGCTTTTCCAGGCTAAAGAGCCCCATGGCTCTCAGCCTGTCATCGTAAGGTCTGTTTTCCTGACCTCTGATCATGCGCGTGGCTCTTCTCTGGACTCTCTCAAGCTTCTCCACATCCTTTTTGAATTGTGGAGCCCAAAACTGGATGCAGTACTTCAGCTGC